GCAGATTCTGAGCATCAAGCTTTTTTACAAGTCAAGTACCTTTGTGACAGGAAGACATGATGAACTGTTAGCTAAGAATAAAGTAATTAAATGCTTCATCTCTTCAGAAAATTTAAACAATTGAACAAAGTCTGTCTGAAACATAAAATTTCTTTCAAACAAGCATTGCCAAAGGTAATTGCATGGAGATTCCTATTTTTCATAGTTTTAGTGTGAAAAATGATTAACTGCACACACACAAAAAAATAGTAAAACAAACAAACAATGCCTGTTGTTGTATTTCACCTGGACCTGCTCATCACTCATTCTTGGGGATGTTCATGAAACCAAATGCATTGCTTCTGGTTAATGAAGCCTTTTAGCCTCTCCCAACAGGCAAATCCTTCCATTAATAACCTGCTCTTATATCTAACAAAAGATTATTATATTTTCCAAAGACAAAACAAAGACGAAAGAAATCAATGCAAAAAAAAAGTAAAGAGAAGTAATCCCTCCACTAATCAAATAGAAATAAAGCAAAACAATGCAAGAGCCAGCAAGTGGGAGCCAAATCTCCATCCTATTGTGGTTTCTTGGTTCTGCAAGTGCCCCTAGGTTCTTACACTTTGTCATTACTGTTCTGTTTTGGATTTCATTTTGCTTCTTAATGTATTTACATGCCAAAATAAGACTTAGGCTGCTAAATCTGCATATTCTTCAGTCAACTTGGATACACTGTTTTCTTGGTGTTGACTTACCAGAGACTCGTTTTAAGGAGAGCTGTGATCACTGTTGGGGCTGCAGTTGGATGTACTCCCTTTTTCAAACTGGGAAGAATTGAGCCCTGATCCATTTGTGTTAGAAATGGTTGGAAGTGTGCTTTTATAACCTTGTGGGGATTTAAATACATTAGCCTAATTAAAATTGTTGTTTTATTTGTTTTGGTAGGCACTCCCTTTCATCTGCATGATAATGATTTTGCCTCATGACTTCAAGAAGTGTCTGTGGGTGGAAACAGTGAGTGATATATCCATATAATGAGGCTCTAAATGACTACAAAAGACTTTACATCGCTGTGAATCATTCATCTGCAGTGCTGCATTATTCAGAAATTAATGCAACCCTATAAATGAATAATTATTTAAATGTACTTTTAAAAATTGTTAATGCTCCAGCATTATTTCCTTCTCTACACAATCAGAAAATTGATTATGACTATGACTAGACCTATGTTCTTCATTTAAGTTATGTAATGGTAATGTTAAAAAAATGTCCTGTGACAACAATGAGAATAGAAAGAGTTCCAGGAGACTAACACTTGGTTTATAATTTTCAGAATTCCCTTGCTAAATTCAGTTGAATTCAGAGGGTATTAGCACCAAAAATCCTCCTAAAAATCTGTAGGCTCTAAAGAAAATTGAGTTACTACTGAAATTAATGAAAATGATGAACCTGTATGTCAAATATCTCAGAATAATATACCTATGGAAAAGGTTTTGCTTGCTTATTTGTTTTTTCCTATTATCTTTTTTATAAACCAAGTGTCAACGGAATCATAAAACAAGGAGTCACGTGAGAAGTTGAAGTAACACGAACTCATTTCATAAGCGTTAGTTTGAAGATGATGTCTCAGGATGGTTACGTGATAAACAAAACAGGGTGAATGCAACCAGAGCCTTTAAAACAGTGGGATCTATAAAGGGCATGGATTTTTAATTTTACAAAGCTAATAGCATTATCTCTTCGTTAAATTGAGACAAGATTGGTAAAGAGATTCCAAAGGCGGGGAGTTGTCAAATGTGTAAATTGAGACAAAAAAGATGGAGATCACTGCCATATACACCTTCAGAAACCAGGATGAAGTCAATGTGACATTACAATATTGCCCACCATGTCCAGAAAGGATGTTAGGACACAGTAACTCAAGCTCAGCTCCCCATCCTAGCCCTGGAAAGCTAATTCTGTTACAATAACTGCAAATGTACTGTGGTTTTTAAGAGGGTGTGACCAAGAGCAGAGCTGGGTATATTCATTTATACAAACACCGAGAAAACATGTGAGCAGTGTGTTTGGGCACATGTTTTAAACCAGGTACTATATAAACTACAAAATGCTTTTCTGGTCAAGTCATAAAACCAACTTTTAAGAAGACCAAAGAAAAGTATTTATTTATTTTTTTTCAATAAAACAAGTGTTATCTACTAATTCACTTCAGCAAAGTTGTTAAACAAAGTTTCTTTCCTGTGCATAAATGAAAGTATGAAGGACGGACAAATGTTCAGTGTTTTCAACGAAACTGGATGCTTAAAAGAATATTTGGCTGCACAACGAGGGTTCAATAAAGCCATCTTCCGATAGCATTGTTTTATATCCTGTAAGTCCCTACTAAATTACTGTAAATTATTGATGCTGTAAAGTGCATGAACCCTGCTAAGGCTACAGTCATTGAAGTCCCCTTTATTAAAATCACTGCCACATAAGCAGCAGAATTGAATTTGTATCAAAGATATCCTAAAATATTGCTACCAGCCTATCAGGCTGCTACAGCTTCCAATTTCTTAGAGTTTGATAAACTCTCTAGTATATACTTTTGTTATTAACTAATTCTACCGATAAACTGTGATCCCGCCATTTTTCTCCACAGATGATTTACTAGGCTGAAAACAATATTGCCTGTCCTAATTCATCCTAGCCAGTGAATCTTTATCAAAGGAATTCATGAATGCTGGGACTGTGCTATTAGCTCAGCCTTTCCTACAAGACCACCCTGCAATGCAAGTCATTTTCAGAGGAACTCAAAGGGAACTGCCCGACATTCGCCATTCACCTGCTGTTTCAGTTATGAAGTCACTCAGATAACACCACAAACAAGCCTTTGACAGTATTCAGACACACACAAAAAATGATCAAAACTGTTTGTTAGCTGCAAAGGAATATTCCTGTTTCTGCAACTTGTTTACTTGTATGGAGTCAAACAGAATTTCTCAAGATTATTTTCCAAGATTATATGTTTTCATAGGTGGTAGAGATGCTAGAATTTCAGTTTCTTTATAGATTTTTAAGGAAGATATGCCTGTGAAACAGTTAAGAATTTTTTCCCCCTTTCAAGATGGAAAACATTAAATCTCAATGTTAAATATCAGCCAGCTACTGGAAAACAAGTTTCTCTTATAGGATGAGATGTTCAGTGTTTCCTCTCAAGCTAACAGAACATTTATACTAACAAAATCAGAATGGTGGCCATTTTTTAATCAATTCTATTTTTTTTTAATGTACTTTTTTTCAAACGTAACTTTATCTATTTTCTAATTACAAGTAGTGGTTTCTGAAATGATCTGGAAAAGTGGCTGTTACAGTGGGCATAAACAATGAGCCCAAATCATTCGTTGCTTGCTGTGCACACACACTGATGGAACATAAATGGTCCATTTTGCACTGCCCTGATCTTCATCATTAAAGCTGGTAAATTCAAAATAAATTCATATTGCTTGTTTTAAAAAATTATAAGTCCCAGTTCTCAAGATCTGATCTCAAAAGGTCTAGGAAATGCTTTATCTCAAACTTACAACATTAAACAGGAATTACCACGATTCATAAATTATTCTCTTTTGGATTTTCAAGACTGACAAATGTGCCAACTTTTCAATTTAATTAGGGAAATTCTCTGTAAGAGATGTATTTTAGTCAAGTTTTGTTCTCGCCAGTCTCACTTCAAGTTCCATCCTTTACACCACACTACTTGTTCTCTTGGAAATTGTCTCATGTAGATAACACAAAATGTTTCGTTTTGAGTATTTATATTTATCTTGAAATATGCTTTCAACTTCTCTTGTCTGGCAGAGAGAGCCCTCACTCTTCGGAGCCTCCTGAAGGAGTAGCTTCCTCAAGCACTGGAGTCAAAGGACACGAATTCATCACTACACAACTACCTCTTATCAGTATTTCACCTCCCGCCTCTAGGCCTGAAATTCTGCCATTGCATTTCACTCATAGACATGTACAACACAGGAAGACCAATTAAAATAGGGGCAGAGAAATAACGAGGGAGGGATAAATAAATGGATAAGCTGAATGTTCAAAGTCACAAACTCTATATGGCGTTTCTTAACCACAGGTTTTTGAAAGCAATCATCTTTTGGATAGCAAAATGTCAGACATTAAACTTTAATTACTTCTTCTCCATAATTTTCTGCAAGACCCTGAAACAGAGAAGTTTGAATCCTCAGTCAATGGCTTGCGAGTCTTAAGCGTGGATTTACTGCTGTTGATTCATAATATAGTAGCCCCAGAGAAATAGACCAAATTGATTAAAATTACCCATTTTTACTGCATTGTATTGTAATGAATTTTCCTCTAGTTGAACAAATGACACATTAATGCAATCTAAAGTTCTCCTATATGAAGAATCAGAAGCAGGAAAATGGAAGAATGATTTTGAACTTAACATATGCTGCATATTCTAATTAGAGCTGCAATTGCAAAAATGATGTTCTCCAAATTACAACATAGGGATGTAAACAGCCTCAATATATGTACTGGTGTAACTGCAGTGAAACTGCAATATCCAGAATGTACATGATAAAGTACATTATTCTGATATGATTCATTTTCTAGTTAGAGATTCATTTGGAGAGTCTCTTATATTGAGTCATGGAATATGCAAAGGTTTGAATTATTAAATTTGAAGAAGTGTCATTTAAGTCTAGTTATAGAATTCCAAAAATATTTTTTAAAAAGGATAAGAATTTTTAACACAGATAAAATAAAATACCTACACAGGCTGTAATGAACACAGACACGTCAATTCTATTCATGTTCTTGATTGTGAGAAACTGAGTAAATTAATGTAATGCCCAGGCACTGGATTTTTCCCTGTTTTCCCTGTTTCTTGGTTTTCAATAATTGTAGTGCCTGAACCAATGATTGAGCACCTGGTGAAGGGACACAGCCAGACCTGGGAGCACAGGTGAAAGCAATTCATCTGTATGACTGGAAAAGGTAGAACCAGGTTCCAGCCCTCCCCAAGCCTCATTTAAGGGCTGTCTGCCACAAGGGAAGGACCTCTACCTGTCGATTCTTCTTTTTGGAGTATTTGATAAGCCCTGATCTTTGGGATGGGTAAGTAAATCTTTCTTCAACTGGATTGTGATCATCATCTTTTTCTGGATGGTCTAGAACTGGTTATTTGCTCTTGCCTTTCCCTATGGCTGCTAAAACCACAAGTAATAGAGTTTCTGTCATTGTGGGTAACTATGCAGGCAGGTATGTTAGTGTATTTTCTGGGATCTACAGATTTTGGTGAGAAACCCTTTTGATGCAAAGTGGTTTTGCGTATTCTAAACCCAGCCCAGTTATCTAACCCAATAGGTGTCTATGAGAAATCATTGAAAATCTTTCCTTTTTAAAAACCATTCAGTTGTTGGAAAGAGCACAGTTACTTAATGTAAAGAATTTTCAAACATTGATGCTGTGACAGGTAGGTATGGATTGAATAACAACTCAAGTCTAGAGAATGAGACTAAGGGCATGTTGAAAGCAAGTGTTTTTGAAGTTTCATTATATGGAAATAAATGTTAGCTCCATTCCCACACATACGCAGCTTCACAGGTGAAGTTTCACCATTCCTAAGTGAACTGGGATGATGTTGTTATAGTATTTCTAATGATTCCTATAAGCCTCTGCTTTATTTTATGAGTTCAGACTTTGAAAGCTAATAAATGACATTCCCAATTAACTCATGTTTTAGGGGAAAGGCTGTCATGGCTTCACCTGTACAGCTGCCACCAAAGGTGAGCACCAGCTCGCTCCTCCAGATGCAGCCACTTGCAGACCTGCAAGGTGAGGGACTGGGAGCCGATGTACCCTCCTGCTTTGATAAATAAACCTTGTAAAAATGTTCTGGTAATGGAGTCCATGGGCCAATTTCAAGTAAATCTGATATCTGAATAAAGACCTAACGAGTATTTTCTAAAAATTTCCTACTATAGATAGCTCAGGGAGAGAGCTCACACCTGTTGCCCTTTCAGTGCATGCATGGTGTGAACTCAAAGCTTCCTCTTTCATTTGAACAGACTGTTTCCTAAAGGTTTGTAAAATAACAGAGTTTGTAAAAGTGAAAATGTGGTTTTGTAGTCCAATTCCTTGATCTGACTGAGCACAGTGTTCTTTGTCTTAGTCATATGCATTTCCTTCCTAATGCTGTCATCCTTTTAGTACTTCTCAAGATAGCTCTGTGAGATGTCTCTGGATTGCTTCTCGTTATTTTCACTTTTCTGCAGATTATATTGAAAGATACACTCTTCATTTTACTTTTTTTGGTCTTTCTTTTTTTTTTCTTGTTATCAAGCTTATGGCTACCTTTACTTTTCCCTGGTAAAACTTAGCAGCAGAAGGTAGAAAGAAAGAATTAAATTGTTCCAATTTTGCAAAAGTAGGGGTTGAGGAAAAAGAGAAAGCAGATTTTGAACAGTTTTATCCTAATAACTACAGATCCCACTGGGGAATTTCTGTAGCAACCAGTGTGTCACTGCCAAAATATTCTGCAGGAAGGGATTATAGGTATATGCAGAGATAATGTAATCTTCATATAAATCAGTTAAATAGTCAATCAACCAAGAGACACAAATCCATAGGAATCCTGGCTTCATTAGTTTCACTGCTCATAGAATGACTTGGATTTTTTAATGGTACTTTAATCCTGTTAGGTTTCAGAGGCAAAGCAGTTATGAGATTGAACTAGAATCTATTCCTTTTTATGCATCGTTAAACAACTCCAAAGTGAATTAATTATATCTGATCAACCCACAGAAGGCAATGAGGCCATGAAAGGTGCAAGTTAGGAGTTGCAAAACATTTATTACTGATGACAGAGCACCAGAAAGAAAACTCTTTGACTTTCAGATCCAAGTGTGAGCTAAAGATCTAAGCGTGAGTTAGCAGGGCTGGTTTTACTGCAGTAAATCTTTCAGTTTAATAAGTGGCTACATTTGAAGTGTGAAAAATGGAATGTAGAATGCCATGATATTGTTTCAGTTTTTACAGTGCCATTCCTGAGCATGAGCCTATGACTTCCCTTTGTTGCTTCAGCTCCTTTCCCACAGGACTGGAGGGTGTATACAGTGCCCAGGATCTCAGGAGCCCCTGGTCCATCTGGGTGGTGACCATGGTGGAGGTACTTGGCAAAGGCAGAGGTCCCAGCCACATTAGCTATCACAGCCTCTTGCAAGCTTTCAGTACATCTCACCAGGAGCTTGGTGGCTCTCACTCCTGGTACTGAAGCCTTAAAGATAACTAAGTGGAGGCATACTGGAAGGAATATATGGCAGTTCTTTTAGAACAGTTGAGTTTACAGATGATAGAATTGTCCCTCAAATTCTCTCTCTTCAATAAGAGTAAAAGGACTGGCACATTACTGCTAACTGCAATTATTCACAGACTTTCACCTCTCCAAATGTCAAGTACTATGAAGAATTCGTCTGAAGTTAATGGTCCTCTTCTCTTTTGTAATATTAAGCAGTAAAGCAGGCCTAAAGCTAACATAATGCAATCATCAAGCAGATTATCTTCTCCAGATCCTTAGCATTTCCCAAAGTTATACCAAGCATTTTTAATCTCTGAAATAATAATTCCAGTACTTGATACTGACAGAAAATATTGAAAGTAAGTTATTTTGTTACACTAATTACAACTATAACCAACAAGAAAGTGTTCCCAAAGGTTTGGGGCATTGTCATGGCCTTCCTATGTACCTGTTCTATCAGATCTGCATCTTTCTTCTGCTGAGGACCCCAGTCTGAACATAGTACTGTAGGTGGGGTCTCACAAGGGCAGAGCAGAAAGGGAGAAAAGAGCTTGGTCCAGCCTGACCTTGAATGCCTCCAAGAACTTGAAAAGACAGCATCTATCTTAAACATTCTCAAATAATGCAACTTTAAAGGAATATGTGTTCTTTTAACTCTATTTCTGTTAATTCCACTGATTTTTTTTTTTTTAATTATTATTATTATTTTGTGTGTGTGTGTGTGTGTGTGTGTGTGTGTGTGTGTTCTTGTAACTGTTGATAAAATTCTACTTAATATTGTTGGATCCTGAATGACCCGTGGAATTATTTGCTCTCATCTGGATGTGGCTCTGGGCAGCCTGGTCTGGTGGTTGGCAACCGTGCACATAGCAGAGTTGTTGAAACTAAGATGATCATTGCAGTCCTTTTCAACTCAGGCCATTCTATTATCTGTAGATCTTAACATAAATAAAAGAAAATATATATATATATACAGCTGTTACTGGATTTAGTTTAAGTGATCTTGAATGTGTATTGGTATGGTGCAAGGTTCATTGACTATTCAGACTTTTTCTTGAAACAAAATTGGATTATTTTTTTTTTTTTCCTCCCTTAGGCTAGGAGTTTTATTGTGCATGCTGGTGAGAAAAGCATAAATGATTTTCAATGGTTATGGTGTTTGTGCTTGCAGGGCCTCTTCTTACAAAGAGGGTGGGGGGGAAGCATCATTAATTGGTTAATCTTGTATAAATGATCAAACTGTGCTATTTCTGTAGTTGTCTAAACAGATGCTAATGACAAGGCATTTCAGTATTTCTGGGAGAATCAATAGTTTAAAAGTAGAAATTGTGGTTTTCTGCCAGAATTAATGAATCTGCTCCTCTAGAGGTCAGGATGTCATCTGCAGTGCAAGCTGTAAAAGAAACAATGTCTCAGTGCATTTGTTGAGTTACAGTGCAAGTCTAGAGCAAATATTAAGCAGGCAAGTGATCAAGAGGTTAAAAAGTATAGTACAAGGCAACAAATGTCCAACTTAGAGACAGCAGAGCAAAAAAAAGAGGCAACAAACCTTTACTGTGACAGGAATAATGAAACAAAGTACTTCAGATCCCAACTGGTGTGTTTTTTTTTTTTTCTGTAACTAGCCCACTAAGAAAGGCGTAAGGGTAATTGGGAACAGCTCATTTCCAGTGCTGTCCTCTATTTCACTTTGCATCAACCCCAACAAACCCTCCAGGCCTTCTCTGCTCCTGGATCTCATTTGCACCCCGTTAGCCAGCACAGTGATTCTGCTGCCAACACTTGAGCAGCCCCCAGTGGGGTTGGTTACCGGAATGCGGTGCCCATGCTGGATGGCAGCTTCTCACCATGCTGTGACTCCACGTCCCTTAGTTACAGCCTGGAATTCAATCCCCCTAACTTCATAACAGAGTTAATATGGAACAAAGGAAAGGGATCCCAAAACTGGGACTGCATTGCATGGTATATGAAGGTTTTGTGGCTGAGCCCTGTATATTATTTTCCCATGAGCTACTGTTAAATTAAACAGTCTAACATATCTAACTGCATAGACTTCCAGAGTCACTGGCTACTCTAACTGGAATTCTAAACTCATTCCTTTGTTTTGAAGTATTCTTCGAACTTCCTGTAAATAAAAGTTCCCTTTGTCTTCAGGCATGTTTTCCCAAGGTTTCAGAGCTCTAATTATTATGAGCAATATCTTCATGGTCTCCTGCTAAATCTCTCAAAAAATATAACAAAAAAAAAAAAAAAAAATCTATTTTGGAAGTTTCTTTGAACTTCATAAGTCAATGATTCCTTATATAACTGCAATAAAAACCTCTGGGAAAGAACCTATTATGAGCACAGTGTCAGCAATTTTAGCTCATTGCAGATGGCTTGCTCCCCTTTCCACATAACTGTTTAATGAATTCAAACTAAGGATTGTATAATTTCATAGCCAATAGCAACCATAAGCTTTTACTGGGGGGTTTTTAAGCCGAGATTACGGATCTAGTTAGTGAAGGAATTTAATGAAGAAAATAATTCCTAAATGCAATTGGCTTCTGCCACATCAGCACCAGAGCACATCCTCCAGATACTGCTGCTGGGAACCTCCAGCACCTCAGCCCATAGTGGTTGCTGACTTCTGCTGTCCAACAACTGGATATTTTTTATTGGTGTTTGTGTTCTTTTTAATTTCTTACCCATTTTGCAACCAGTTATCCTTAACCTTCAAGACAGCTCCTGCAGGCAGGGTTCTCTGTCCTCCCTTCTTTCTGCCCTTCGCTCAGCTCTGATACAACCATTAGCGCTCCCCTGTAGAACAGCAGTTGGCAATAAAACTGTTTATATCCCTCTGCTGTGCCCATTCGCTGGTCAAAGTGTAATTGCACTAAGAACTGTAAACAGAATAAAACTAAAACAAAGCAGCGCTCCATCTCTCTTTCTCTCCCTCCATGTTACAGCAATCCCATTTGTGGGATAATAATGAAAAAGAGCCAACGAAAGAACTGAAGTGAGTATGGAGTACAAAAATACACAGTTCTTTGCTCACGTTACAATACCACCGTGGGCTTTAGTATCAGTAAGAAGAGAAAAAGATCTTTCTACAGTGTGAATTGCAACCCTCTCCCTTTCAAAACGGTTTTGATAACCAGCAAGCGCAATGAAAGAAAGTAGCAGGGTCGAAGTTTTGATGTAACATTTCAGCCTTCTGTTTTCAGCATGACTTTCAACTGGGAGTGTTTCTGTATAAAATTTCAGTACTAGTTGTTAAAGATTTCGTATTTGATGCAAAGCATATATTTACTATTAGGTATCAGTGCTGGAAATCTTGCACGCTTCTGGTGACCTTATGCTTCTATGAATTTAATTTTTGCTTTTTTTATATATATAATTTTGATGTTAGTGGACAAGAAGGATTGAAACAGAATCATAGATTTCTCAGGTTGGAAAAGGCCTTGAAGATCATCAAGATTCTTGGAGGAAGATTTGGTTTGTATCCTATGGTCACATTACACCAAATAATGAATCTTTTACTCAAAGTGATTAACACCTATCATCTACTGACACATCTCCTTCCCATAACAGACATGTAACAGGTAGAAAATACTGTGACATTTGTAGCATCCGTGTTGGCGCTTTGCTTTCCAAATAATACCAGAAAGCAATTGAAATATATATGCTCTCCAATGGGAGAGAACAGATTTAACAAAGTACAGTGTTTTTCATTTGGCTACGGTCTAAACCAAAATTCTGAGCACTGCTGCACTGGATGGGCTCTGAAAAGCAGTAGGAGACTCCACACCATCCCCATACACTCCTAGTTTCAGGAAATTCCCTCCAATCAGGGAGGGATTTTAGAGGGGACAAAGGAATGAGTCATGCCAGATTCGAGCACCTATGGCTGCAAGTCAGAAAAGGAGATTAAAGCAGAGTAGCTGCTACACACCAGCTGCTCAGTGGTCTGCAGAGAACTGCTCCTCTGAGCAGCACGGCTACTTCCCTGTGTACGATACTTTCTAGATCTTGGAACATGTTGTGCTCACAGTATGAAAAGGAAAAAAAATTATCTGTATTAGTCATAGGTAGCTGAGTGCCATCTGTTACCCAGCCTGCAAGTGAACATTCACCTCAAACTCTTTGATGACTACAGTTTGCCTTCTGGAGGAGGTACTACGGGGGTAAAGCCTCGCTATGGAAATTGGGAGTTTTGTTGTTTCCTTTTGGTAAGCTCTATTTGTTCTAAGAATTATAATTGCCTTCTAATGTTTTAATTATGTAGACTTTTGCTTTTTACTGGGAAATCACAGTATGTTTCCAAAAAAGAAATAACAAAAAAGCATTTTTCTTGGAGAGAAAAAAAAAAAAAAAGAAAAAAAAGAAAAAATCAATGTCCAAAGCAAGAACTGCTTGATATCTGCTTTCTATGCTATTAGATTTATGCAAATTGTATCTGAAAGTTATAGGACTGCAGCAGCTGGCCACTACCTCCAAAATATTCTGACTATAGTGAATCATAGTGTAGCAAAGAAATATTATCTCTTATTCACTGGTATCTTTCAAATACCCCAGTACACCAATAATTATCCATTACTAACTATGAGAACACATATTTTGCACCTTCTTAAATCTGCTGCCTAATTCAACTATTGTCTTTTTGTGACCCTAGAATTTAGCCCTCAAATGAAGTGATTAATAGATAATTCCTAAGTGTGTCTATGACAATAATAAAAGCATTATTTCTTTCATATCTAGGCTATGCTATGCAGTAACATCAGAACAAATGGTCAAACTCCAATAATTTTCTTAACAGACAACTGAAAGCAAACACTCATAAACATTAACATTTTAATGACTTACATTCTGAAAATGATTTCTGAGCACCATGATGACAACCAGAAAGAGCACACGAGAGATTCCTTCAGCATCAGTATGATTAGCCTCAAATATTGCTGTGTTACATCAACAAGTGTTCATCATCAAATCTGTAATTAAAAAGTAAGAAAACATCACATTCATCTAGGAATATCTGAACTGCTTTGAAACTGGAAATCTTGTTTTGAATCAGAGTTAAACAGGAAACCCATCTCACCCAAGAATTTGGCTTGGCTTGTCTGTTTTTTTCTCTTCGTTTGTTTCATAATCAATCCATTGTCCTCCCATGGTGTAGAAATAAATTAACTTGAGCCTGCATGTTTGCATAATATTGGCCCTGGAAAACAAACAAACAAACAAACAAAAAAAAACCACTAAGGACTACCAGGTATAAAATGAAACAAAAAAGTAACATATGTATTTCTTGGCAGTTTTTCAGCATTCTTGTATTTAAGACATTGACCTATTTTCCAGATTTTTTTTTCAGCTCTATCTGGTAATCCTTAAACCCAAACTGAAAGACACTTATGGTTCAAAATGAAAAATTCACTTTGGTGGAATGGATTCTCAAATACCAGGTGAGACTACAACGAGTTTCTCATAGTTAATTTTCACACTGTTGTAGCTCACTTTGGTTTCTACAGTCACTGCAGCATTTAGCAGTAGACTCATTACTAGGAAAATTCTCTCAGATCTCTCACTTGTTTTTATCTGCGATATCTTTTATGCTCTTGATTAGTGGGAACCTCAGAACTTTAAAAAACAAAAATTCATTTAGGGATTTCTACTTAAAAAGAGAACTTGATAAACATGTGGGGAGGACCACACAGCTGTATAAGAAAAGTGGAGAGGAAAAATTAATTATGCCAAATTTCACTAATGAACTGATCTATCTAAATGTGATTTACCACTCAAACTCTTTTCCCCATTTTTAACATGTATATTTGAACACAGTACTTTTTTTTTGGTCTGTGTTATGTTACATTATGGCAAGATTTTTTTTATTACATAGAAAAATGTCTTCTGGGATACAGGTGGTAATGTTCAGGCATGTATGGGGTTGTAGAGAAACTGCCATATTCACTGCAATAGTTAGTATTAAAAAAAAAAAAAGCATGGGGAGATGACTTAGCATATATTAATCATCATTGTTAAGAATTATGCCTATGTAGAAAATTGGGATGATGTGACACTTAAACTCTAGCTGCATCATTGCAGACATAATGTGTTTCTCAGGTGAAGTGGTAGCTGAGTGCCCAGTTTCACAACATTGCTTTTGTAATACTAAAAACTTAACTGCAGACGTTATTGAGCCAGCCCAAGCCTCCCACTGTGTTCTGGTGCCTTCTTTTCCCTTCTACCCCATTCCCTCTCTGCCAGAGCTGAGTGAGGCAATGGAATACTCCAACACAACCTCACTGAGAAAAATGAGTGGGTTGAATAAAAACAGAATCATGCCGAAAAGGGATCTAAGAATATCGCCCGTGCCCAAAGACTCATGAAAATACATGAAGGATTTCCCTTGATATACATTCAGACACAGATTGTGTTTACCTCTCTGGGATATGGAGCTGATTATTCATCATCAGTATCTCATCAGAAACAGAAGTTTCAGTTTCCACCCGCATGTAATGAAAATGATATGATCACATCAGCATATTTTATTATTATTGTTACACCAAATCATCATCCCTAGGTACATATAAACACACTTTTTCTCCACTGAAATAGCACACTAGGTGGCCTCTTTATAAAATAATAAAAACAAAAGTGTTCACAAAGATTTGCGTCAAAAACTATTCATCCATCCAAGGAATAGAATCAAGCAGCATCTCTGCACATTTGTAATAAAATCTGCATGGCTGTCTTGATGGCACTAAGTCCCTTATTAAGTAAATGGAACCTAGCACCAATAAATAGAAACAGTCTGAGGTGCAGTGAGGTATCATACTCTCCCTCTGTTGAATCCCCATAGAGACAGAGGAACGCAATTTGGCAGGATGTCAAATAGAAGTTCATACTGTCCTGTATAAAGCCTAAAAAGGCCCATGGGACTATCACCTAACATCGAGACAAAAATCAATACATTTGTAGCATTTCACACTGAATGAATCCTTGCACTCCTAACATCAACAGAAGCTTTAAAAGGAGAACTGTAGCTCTGCAACGTTGCCAAGGTCCATGCCTATACCCTTCCATTGCTGGAGTGCCAGATCTCCAGTCCTGGATTAGCCTTGAGTAAGAGCAGCAGAGTTGTGTTGATGCAAAGCTGTAACTAATGAGAGGCTTAGGGCAAGGGATTAAAATACATTTGAGAAGTTCATCAAGGAACTAAAATTCATCAATCTCTTGAATCCACTAATAGCAGAAAATCAGACAGGTACAACTGCTCCAGTGAGCATGTCTGCCTCTTCTGACAACCCTCAAAGAGATCCCAACAACTTGTTGTCCTGAACCATCTCACCAATTAGATTAATTGAGCTGAAATTTCAAGACAACCATTGGGAATTAAACTAGCTTTGCTGCTGCATCCACGCTTGGGAATGTTTATCCAACTCTGACAGTCTCCACAGAAGTAGCATCTTCAACTGATGTCTGTCAACTGTTTTCTGTGTCTTTCAACAATCCACGTTAAAAGCCCTTCTTCCTAATACTCAGTCAAAATATTCTTTCTTAGAAATTCTTCACCCAACTGCATTGTTACATATTCTTGCAAATACCCTTCACGCATTTGACAGCTGTTCTGCATCATCCTCAAGACGTTGCAGCCACTGTAAAATGCACTAAAAATAAAAGCCTTTCTGCCATCGAGCACCAAGCAGCCCTTTCTTTCCATGCATGTATGCATGAGATCACATGCACACACACAGCCTTGAGACCAACAGTGAAACAAATCTTGTTTTACGATGCAAAGTCTGAGAATAACATTTCACACTTAACAACCCAAGGCACAGGGAAAGCAAAACTCAGGAAATGCTTACGAAATGCTGTCATTTGAAAGCTGCCTACAAAAAACACATAGAAGCATTTCTGAGAAAATTTTCTATTTGCACAGAAGCATTTACTGGATGATCTACTGGATGATTTTGTTGTTGTGGGTTTTTTTTTTTTCCCATATTCTTTTTTTTTTTTTTTTAATTACTTTTTTTTAATTTTTGTATCCATATTCATTATTGCACCATCTGTCATTCTAATAATGAAAATAAATAAACTAATGTTGAATTCTAAGACTGTAACACTTAAGTTGTGAACTTGAAAATGTTATTCACCCATCAAGTGCTAAAAAACTTTTCCATCTCCAGCTATTTAGATTTCCTGAGAATGACAGCTAATGGCATTTGACTGAAGCTGCAAGGAACAGAATGAGGAGCAGTTTGGATTGATAGACAGGACTTTTTGCCGCCCATTTATCTGTATCTTGGGTGTCATAAATATGACAATATATCACCCAATGCCATAAATAAAATCCATCAGATTTTGGAAGATAATTGTTTTTAGCCCTATTTTGAACTTGCTAAATGTACTTATTTCATTCTTTTTTTTTCCTCTCTTAATCAGTTTCCAGTCCATGCAGTCCATTATGTCCTACTCTGTGATTTCTCTTAGCTTCCTTAATAGCATCTCAAGCTCTTTAAAACCCAAAATAAATTATATCTATCACTTTTCAGTTACCAGTTATTTTGCTGACATCCTGGGGGAAAGGCAATTTCCCTTTCGGGAGCAGAGCTGTTTTTCCCCTTATAATACCACGCTCACTGTAACTCTATAGCTATTTTTTATAGCTAATGTACCAATATTGAAGTGAGACCCATTGGTTTGTAATTCCAGCACCCATCCCTAGCACAGATTCCATAGATAGAGAACAAACAGTTTTCCCTCTGGTTGTCCAGATTTTAAGAATGAGCAAGTTTGGGAAACTCATTCCTAAGCTTCCAAACAGCCCTTGAGGAAGAATTGCCTCTACTTCAAGGAATGCACACTAGCATTGCTGCCCATTGTATTTGCAGCTTGAATCTCCTTCAACCCTCAGTGCAGCACAGAGCACATGGAACAGGAAGAAGTGTGATTACTACAAAATGATGCAGAACGGATTATTTGCATCTTTAATCAATATTTTAAATGCTAAACAACACATCTCGAGCACTGATACATGCTATTTACCGCTTTATCCCTGGTGGAGCATAATTATATTTTATATACATGAAAGCAATTTCATTTGTTTGTATCAAGAGATACACTTGTGTAATATTAAAAATAATAATGTGCACAATGATCCAGACAGGATTTAAATGTTTTTAACAACTCTGCATTAAATAACACAGCTTTTTATTATTTCAGCGGATGA